ATGGAACATGAGATTAATACATGTTTTATTTTTTAATTACATTTTATTTTTTAAATATATTTTAAAAGTACATATTATTTGACTAATCTCTTTGTGAAAATTTGAAAACTCTAGTAAGAGTAAATGAAGTCATTTTTTCTTTTCATAATCGATGAGTTTCAATGACTTTTACATTAACCTAAAGAGATATAGTGGGTGAAAATATAGAATGATGTTTTTCTTAATTAATAAATGACATTTTCCTCTACAAGAATACTTATTGGAGGAATTTAGTGTTTGAATTGATTTTTGGAAATTACGTTTGTTGATTTCTTCAATTTTTTCCTCTACATTAATGATTGGGTAAATAGTATAAAAAAAATTAGACTTTACTAAAGAATTTGGAAAAGTTAAGAGTGGTAATAAAAAAAAAAAAAAGAGAAGACTTTTCCATTCTAAACTATCTTAAATCTACCTTCTAAACCAATAAACTCCCCTTTCCATTTCTCAATCTGAACACAATGATTTTTGTATCAAAAGCTAAAACCTACCACAAAAGCCCATTAAGGTAACAAAAGCTTTTTGTATCTTTCTTTTAACCATGGCATCATTCTACAAAATGAGCAATGACGAAAGAGAAGACATTAATTCATCTTACCTTTTTAACAACAATTCCTACATGAGCCACAACATCTCTTCATTCTTTCATCCCTATGCTTTTGCTTCAAATGATCTCACCATTAATCCTTCTTATAATGATAATAAAAATGATTATATTAATACTACCAATAATAACAACAACCACAATAATGAGCTACTTTCTTCAGATGTTTATAGGTTTGGGATGTCCATGCCTAACCCTGACTACATGACTCTTTTTATGATGATTGTGATGGATAAAGGTGGAGATATCGATGGTACTAATATTGATGGTGGTGGTGATGATGGTGATGATGATGATGAGATTTTTGCCTCTGATGGGCTGTTATTGCCTCCGCCTAAACAGATGCAAGAGGAAGGCTCCGTACGATGTGAATGGTGTCGGTTCATTTTCTTTACATTATTTTTGTTTTTTTTTTTCAATGTATAATGTAATTACAAAAAAAAATATAGGAGATTGAGATGATCTATATAGATAATGGTGCATGAGTATATATGGGTATGTGTTTGTTTGGATTGAGAATATTTCATAAGATTGAGAGGATTTTATGAGTATTGTTTGTTGAGTGCTGATTTATATAAATTATATATTTGTAATTCTCTACAACTAGTGGATCTTTTTTCTTATCGTAGACGTAGGTTATTTGGGTTGAACAATGTTAAATTGTTATCTTTTATGTACTTGATTGATTATTTGACTTTACTTTGGTTGGCTTGATTAATTGAAAGCTTTTTGCCTAACAAGTAGTATCAGAGTTGTGGTGATCCTTAACAAGTGGTATCAAAGCTATTGTGATCTTAACAAATGATATCAAAACTGAAGGTTTGAGAAATGCGAAGAGGTAAACCTAGAAGAGCTTGATTCAAAAGAAGACTTTGAGTTCGTGTTTTCAGGATTGAAGATCAATTTACGTGAAACGTGAAGAAACAAGAAAAAATAATTATGAGACTTTCATTGCAGGTGGAGCCAAGCATGTCTTGCATAAAAATAGATGATTTGATGAAATTTGACTCAAGGTGGAGATTGTTAGAAATAATGACTCAAAGCCCATAAGAGATTTTATTTGAGATTAGCTAGATATTACTTGATGGATAAGAAGACTTGTAAAAGAAGAATTCTAAAAGGAAAGAGATTTTTGATAGGCAAGTTTGTATGCTTATAATAAATAGGTGAAGTCTCTATAAGGTTAGGTATGAGAAAAAGATGTAACAAAGTCATAGGGTTTTATAGGATAGACACTCTATAGGACTAGAAGAAATTACTCTCTTTATGGTTGTGTATGTTAGAGTGGATTACAAGAGACTGAAAAAGTCCATATAGGTATATATATGTATGTTACTTAGACCATAGGAGATTGAGAGGGTCTACATTGGTAATGGTGCATGAGTGTATATAGGTATATGTTTATTTTGGTTAAAAATACTTCATAAGACTATAAGAGATTAAGAGGGTTTTATGAGTATTGATTATTGAGTGTTGATTTATATGAATTGTATGTTTGTAATTCTTTACACTTAGTGAATCTTTTTTCTCATCCGTTGACATAGGTCAATTAGGTCGAATCATGTTAAATTATTATCTCTTATGTGCTTGATCGATTGTTTGATTTTACTTCTGTTGGCATGATTGATTGGAGGCTTTTTGCCCAATAAGATGCACATAAGCTTGAGGATACTAAAATTAGTGGGATTTATGTGTGATTTAAAGAAGGGCTATATATAATAGTACATGAAACATCTTTTGAGACGCTACGTAAAATATAATAGCACATGAACAGTGCTTACATTCGCAATGCATTAATCTGAATTTTTAGTCTTATATAATATGACGACTTTGAAATTTATGTACATGGATGTTTCATGTTTCCTTTTTTGTTATTTATTCCCTAAACCTAGGTTGATATAAACTTAGGTTTCCATCTTTCCAATTTCATTCATAAACATGTAATTGGTTGTTTTAATCCTTTTCAAAGATCCATTGCTCCACCATTCTCTTCCTTCCCGTCTGCATACTTCCCTTAATTTCCAATATAAAAGATGCTTTCCCTGCTTCTAGATTAAGCACATGAGAAAATGAAAACTTGCATTTTATGGTACGTACACTGCGCATGATATCTTTATCAATTGATTTAAAACTTCAGTGGTTTGTATGATTCTGGGGTTGTATGGAAAATGAAATCTGTTGATTCTGGTCTTTTAAATTCCTTTGATACAGCCTCAATGCCACTCATCTTGAGGAAAAGGAGAAAAGAGAGAAGGAGGTGCGGAACAATATAATTGCTGAAGCGGAAGAATACAGACGATCCTTTTATGAGAAGAGGAATCAAAATTGTGAAACTAACAAGGCTAACAACAGAGAAAGAGAGAAGGTAGAAACTCGAAAGTTTGGAAACTAATCAGCATTATGATTTCTGGTTTAGCCTTCCAGCCTTTCTTTTCTCTTCTCTTTACCAGACTAAACTAAATCAATTTTGTACTGTTATGCAGCTATACTCGGCTAATCAAGAAAGTTCAACAAAGAAGCTCACCAGCAGTACCGGAAAGCAATTGCTCAGCTCATTCCTTGTGAGGTTGCTAATATTGAGAAGAAAGAGGAAGAAAAGATACTGACAAGAAACCTTCAGTTTTCATCATTCAAGGTCCAAAGCCTGGGAAGCCTTCTGATCTTTCAAGAATGATGCAAATTTTCCTGAAGCTGAAACAAAACCCTACACCTCATATGATGCCTCCACCGAAAGATGGCAAAGATGGAAAGGAAGGCAAAGATGGCAAGAAAGACAAGAATGGAAAAGATGCAAAGGAAGGGAAGGCCGCCAAGAATGGCAAAATTTCAACTCCAACTGATTCCGGCACTGCTGCTGAAAATGCACCTGCTTCACCACGTAAAGATGCTGGCGTGCTGCTGCTAACGGTGCTCCCGAACAACCAAAACCACAGGCTGCAGCTTCAGTTGAGACTGCTGATAAGACAGCTAAATCCGATCCTGATGCTTCCAAGTGATAACAACAATTATATATATATATATATATATATTCGTTTTCTCGTGTTTATAACTTCTTTTCTTTATTTTCAAGCTTTCGCTTAACAATTCTTAACGGAGACTAAGAGCAGAGACCTTGGAATTCGGATGGCTTTCAAGGCTGTAGCATGAGCTGCAGAGAGCTTTCCTCTGATTTTGAAAATTGTAGGCAATATGTAAAGGGAAGATTTTCTAGTGCTTCTTGTTAGGAAATTAATTATATAGCAACGTGTTTTTTTTCCTTGGCACTACATTCATCTATTCTGTGTGCCACTGTGCCCTTGTCTTGACTCTTGGTTGAGGTTTTCCCCAATAATTATATGATTTTACTGAATTACGAGCTTTGACATTGAATAAGTAAATGAGCACATCGAATAAGTGCTCAAGAAATTCATTAACAAGATTCTATGATAATTTCCAGGTGTGAAATTCAAATTATTCCAAAAAATACGGTTAAAGCAAGCATAGGCTGAAAGAACCAAAAGGTAAAGTTGAATCAGTTTTCTACAAGTAGTTCGACAATGCATTTTAGTTTACATTATGGAACTTTAGAGATTCGAATTTTTTTTCTTCTTTTTATAAGTGTTCTCCCACATGACAATAAATTTCCGAATAAGATTCCTCTTTTTTTTTTTTTTTGGTTTTTCATTTTCAATGACAAGAGTCTTTCAATGAGGATTCGAAGGGATCTCCTCCACGTGTGTGGGGTCACATATATACCTCGTGTCAGCACTCACCATTACCCATTTCACGGAGCTACTTTGCTGCGGCATTAGAACACTACATTGCATGTGAATAGATTAGTGTGATCCACCTCACCATTAAAATAGTACTACTACGATGGGTCTTTGAGAGATTTAATGTAAAAAAATAAATAAATAACTTGGTAGTGATCTCATTTCTTATTTTGACAATCCTGCTGATTAATATTCAACCGTCTTACATTCTCATTCGCAAGAGTTAACTTCAATCGACTAATTGTAAGTATATTGGAGGTTTTTTGCAATAACATCATGGGAGGAAAGTTCGTGCACAAACTGACAACACAATTAACATTTTACATTCAATAATGCTTCAAATTTCATTAAAATCCAACAAGACCACAAATTACATTCAAACATGAATGGCAGCAACAATAGTAATTAAACGCACTCTCTCCTTTGGAGAGGGCTACATTGATCTGCAAGCACTTGCACACTACAAAAGTAGGGAAAACTATTTAAGATAAATAAAAAAGGAATAGAAAGAGCCCTTGGATGCCATTATGCCGCCCAATGGGCTAGCTCTTTTTTTTTTAAAAAAAAAAAAAAAGACAAGGAATACTTTTTCTGTCATGGGGACTAGCAAGGGAGCCTTTTGACATAAAAAGAAGGGGCTTAGTTCCCTCTTTGTCGTGGACCAGTTGTTACTTTCACATTTAGAAGAAGTTAAGGCGAGAGGTGTAAGTTGCTTTTGGCGACCAATTTCTTGGAATGACATCCCTTGCAGAGAGTGTTCTTCCTGTTGATAGTGTTGTTAGTTTCACTGAGAATGGTCCTTTCAAGGGTCCCCTAATAATACACCAATTTGCTCCCCATAGATGATTCATCTCTAGCCACTCACTAGAACGTACCTGCCAACATCCAAATTTCAAAAGCTATTAATTAATAGCATTTTAGAATATAATAACCACAGCACATATAACCTTCTTTCATCTCTTAATTTAGTTTTGTGGATTTCGAGTCTCTGTACTTCTCTAAGTTTTTTCAAGCAATTCCATTTATGCATGTTGCATTTTTTTCACCTTCAAACTTGGGAAGAAAAGGGTAAGAAACAATAACAAGATGTAGCTGAAATTTTGGTTTAAATAAGATTATTTGTCCATAGTTGGTGGATACTCTGATCACATTTTGGTAGTTAAAAGAAACTCACATGCTAATGTCATAATGTCCAAATGATATTCTTTTGACTTATGGGTTCGGAGGGAAAACAAAAGAAATGACAGGAAAATATAATGTTGAACATGCTGTATGGGACTTTTTTAGTGTGGCCTGGCCCCTATATCATCATCACATGCATGGAGTCAACATTCAATAAATGGTTAAACATTATTCAACTGAAGAAAAAGTAACAGCCGAAAAAGTGCCTTCGAGCACTTTGCATGTTGGCGCCATTAGGAAAACCAAGGCAATGTTTTCTTAATAAAGTGTCCATATGTTTGCCTAATGGAACCTGATTAAGCAGACAAATCCAGGATAATAGGAAGCGGCTACCTTTAAACAAGGGTTAATAATAAAAAAATATTTTCGAAGCATTCTACCATTACCTTTTTTAAGGTATGGACACTGTATGGATATTAATTTTTTGAACAAGAGTTACGTAGCTTTTTTCCATGTAAATGTGAAAGTGCTTTGTGTTTTGAAGATGCAGGCATGCCTTTTGCACTTTTATTGATGTAGCACTTACGAATTTTCCTAAAGTCAAGTCATATCTGAATTTTGTGGAGCCTAAAGAGGGCTTTTTCACTTCTGATTTTGCCTTTATATTGGGCCATGGAAGTCACAATGATTTTTTGCATTTAAATAAAATTAACTATTTTTTTCTATAATTTTTTTCTAACCATATGAACAGTAGAATTTATGGAAAAGAGAAGATAGCTTACTTCTCTTATATGCATTGACCCAACATCTCCGTCTCCATCCTCAAACTCCACCAGAAGAGATAGCCAATAATCAGTTGAACCTTCATTAACATGGAAAGCAATGTTCTTCCCAGGATATTTACATGGGGTCCTAAAATTTTAAAAAACAGTGTCAACGGCTAAGTTTAGAAAATCAGTTTCCACCCAAAAACAAAAAAATAAAATAAAATAAAATCAATAATATGGAGACAAGAGAAAAAAGATTGAAGCAAAATGTAACAAATCTACTGAATGTATTTTGATTTTGGGCCTTGAATCAATTGCCTTAGAAGCCCAAACAGGACTCGGCTCCTGTCCTTTCCTCATTTATGTGTGGTAAAAGGTGAAACTGCAGTCAATGGTCAATCCATTTATGTGTGAATTGTGAAATCGAGATGTACAGCCGTAATTATTTACTCTCAAGTCTTTTATTTATATATATATATATATATATATATATAATTCCCTCACAAAGAAACCAAGCAAACAAAGCTATAGAGATATAGTCATAAAAAATATACATTGTCATAAGATTTCATTCTTTTTCCTTAAAATATGGTGCGATAGGATGATGGTAATTTCCACATGGTAAAGCCATCCTATTAAAAAAAGTAGTAAATAAAAAACATGAAAGAAAAAAGTGACAAAATAGAAGTGACAATGAAAAAGAAAGACCGTTGAAGGAACCGATGAATAACAACATAGTACAGAGCTAGCCAGTTCAAGAGCACATACCTTCTATAAACCACCGGGAGTTCGCCTCGGTTCCTGAGCTGTGCACTCTCACCGTTTATAGCCATGCGGCCAAAGGCTGCACCACTTAGGTCGAAGTGGGTGCGCCCATTGGCGCAGTACCCTCCGGGGCACTCGTCAGTTACAATGATGGTCACGGCCCTCCTAGAGCATATGCTCTTGTCTAGGCACCTAACTTTGAAGCATGCCCCACACCCTTCCCCGTTCTTGAACAGTACTGGGCTCACCGCTCCCACTCTGGCCCTCAGCGGCTTAACGTCAACTAATGACCCGTACCCACATGCTCCCCCTGCACAAAATCACATACACAACAAACTTCACTTCTTGAAGAAAAAAAATTGACATAGTTCAACCTAGAAAAATAAAATTGAGCACGACATTTAACATTTTAATTTGATTAACTTGAGTTGACTCAAACAAAATCTACTATGGAAAGAGAAAAACCGTAAATCAGCTAATATAAAACCCCTGTTACAGATCTAAAATACATAAAAAAAAATGTGACATTACGGAAATAGAAGCCACGCTGGTGGGCACTTACCGTCGCTACCATCACCGTCAGGACTGCCGTACCAAGTGGCAGTGGCAGGATGCCAATGTAGGTCAGAAACCTTGCGCGGCACTGGGATCTCACCAGACACCTTTAAACACACCAACAACACTAGACAACATAATGTACCATTCCCAATGAATCCACGGCAGCGCTGCATTTTGTCAACTGGCGGCGCCACCTCTTGTTCAGCCTTGGACGGAGCAAATTAAGTTGAAAAGAAAAGTGAAAGAAAAAGTAGCTAGAAAAATGCAGGTAATATAGCTAACTAGTTCTGCCGACAGTTTTTATTTGCATTGAATATTGATGAACTTGAAAACAGTGTACAGAGCTCCATACATATATAGCAGCAGAAGAAGTAGGGAAAAAGTTCAATGTGACTATGGGATCCACTACTTTTGGAATTATTTACGAATGTGCCATTGGGGCTGGAGGGTCCACCGACAGTTAAGGCGTTAAATCCGCGTGATCATTCCTGGAGAGAGGCTGAGAGGTGTTTTGGTCATTTTGGTATTCGACCGTTAATGTTGTTTTGTTGTTGCTGCAGTCTTTTTTTTTTTTTTTTTTTTAATTCAGGGCCATGTGATGGTTAGTCGTTAGGTTATTATTGATGTGGTTGAAACTATGTCGTATTGGCAATTCAACATGCCAAAAGTGGGTTCGTTTGCCTTTGTACCATAAGCAACAATGTTTTACTTGGGAACCTGTTTTCTTTTTAGTATTGTGTCCTGAACTGTGAAAGTGTTTAGCCTGATTTTGTTAACCTATTTGTCTTTGAGAATTCAAGAATTTAACCTGTAAAATTCATAAATTGTAAGAAATGAAAATATTCTCCGCCAAAGGCAATCTTGGATTTGCTTGTACCGAAATAGTTCCAATTACAACGACGACAACAAAGCAATTGTATTTTTGGGCAAATTGGGTCATTTCTGTTATCTCTGTTATCCATATTTATGCAGTAACTCTTTGTCAAATATTAACTTCAATCTCAAAGAATATTTTGTTTATTAATTCTCAAAACGTGCCCTCAAGCTAGAGTAGATAGACATTCAACGCACTAGTCTTTAAAGAGATTTTTTTTTTTTTTTAACAAACAAAAAGAAATATATTCTACTTTTGTAACAGAAGAAATAATTTCTATATTATAAGCTCTTAAAAACCAGAGATGTATCAGAGACTTGAGAGGGAGTTGTGGCATGCGAAAGTCTTGAATTATTGGTGGCCCTATCAACCAAAAACAATGTCTAGAGTTTGTGTGAATACCTTATCTTGTTACACAAGTATGGACCACTGAACTGATCATGTGGGGATCGATGACCAAATATTAAATTAGTTTGTAACGAAAATAATGATGCGAACCCCATATGCTACACACTGTAATGACTCTGACTCATTTCCTTACGACACAGTGCATCTCCAGACTCCAGTCAATGTAGTTAGAAATTGCCAATGCTGTGGAATTGTAAACTGCATGATGGTTTCTAATCGAAATGCCGCTGGGTAAATCAAAGATTAGAAATCAGATCAAGTACTTATATTCCAATTCTATAATTTTATATACTATTGTTTCTCATTTTTAAAAGTTTTAAAGGGGCTAGGCATTATTTGCCCTCTACTGGAGTTACATGTAATTTAGTGGATTAAGCAACTTTTATTTGTTTGAAAAAGCAGCTTCCGCCTTCCAATCGCTTTGAGTTTAAAAAAGTAAAAAAAAAAAAAAGTTTTAAACTCTTTTGTTTGTAAGTGTTGTTTGAGTGAGGGTTGTTTGGGGGCTGATCCAAGACCCAACAATTCAGGAACAGAAAAAATCTCCGCAAATTTCAAGGGCTGGGTGGGGGAGGAAAACTGAACTTGAGTTACTCCACAAATTTCTCTAAAACACAAATAGGTACAAAAAAAGATCTCATGAAATTTCAAAAGAGGATTATATTTTGCATAAAAATTCTTCTTTCTCAGCAAGCTTAGACATTGCATGTGACCTCTTGCCGGGTACGTCTTATTCACAGGGATCGTCTGCTGACTCTGCTCTGTTCACTCATTTTGAACTCTAGTGCTACGATCTTCTTGTCTAGTACCTAGTAGATTTTTTTTTTTTTTTAAAGGCAGATATATTAATAGAACAAAAGGCAAGGTAAAAAGTTTGTAAAAGAAACAGGGAAACCATAGCACGCAGAAATGATAATGGAGTAGATAATCAAATTAAAAGAAAGCGGAAATTTCTTGGAATTTTTTAGCACCATTCTTAGCCAAGCCATCCACAAAGGAGTTATTTGTTAGAACAAGGGACTGAAAAACTTAATTTTAAAAGTCTTCAAGGCTAACATCAATTTCATCTATATTTGTCTCTATCATAGTATTTAGTAAGTGTGAAAAAGAGTTGTATGCAATAAATTTTAAAAATATAATAAAATCGATTGTGTTTTGAATTAATGAAATCAATTCATTAAATATTTACTGACGGAAAAATAGAATTATCTAAATCGATTATGAAAAACTTGAAGGGAACTTTTTTGGTTTTGTTCCATATACACAACCTTATTCAATGTTAATTTTGTCTCTTTAGTTATAGTTGATTTTGGTTATTTAGTTATATTATAATTTGTTAGTTAACTATTAATGATTGTAACTTGAATATGATATAATAATTGATTATATGGATTAATATTTTATCATTATTGTAACTTTAAAAAATTTAAGTCTCTTTGCAAGAGACATTTCAAGAAACACAACTCTTAATAAATAATTTTATCTTTTAAAAAGGCACAACTTTTCACCACGTAAGTCATAGACTTATTATTTTGAAAATATTCTAATAAACCCTTATCATTTTCAAAATAAACCAAATTTTTAATAATTTTGAAAATCTTTTGCATAAACAAAGGTGTTTTAAGAATGAATCTTTATTTAGTTAAAACATGTTAAAGTTAACTAAAATTACATGACAAATTATGCTTTGAACCAACTATTCATTTGAATAATCAAACACATCTCACGCAAAAGATTTCTACGCTTAAAAAATGCATAGAATTTGGGGATACTATTTTGGTCATGTGTCTATATCTATCTTTTTCTCATGTGCTATTAGAATCAAGCCCTTAAATTTCTAAAAACCGTCACACTTCGTACTCATATAAATAGATCCCATCTAAGGATGTCAATGGATAAAGTATAGGGAGGATAAAACATTTCTCATCTCTATCCTTAAAATTTTGTATTGTACTCATTCTGTATTTATACCTAAGGGGTATTTTAAATTTATCTCAATATTTATCCCTATAGGTATTTAATTGATATAAATAATTTTCATACTCATAACTTTTTTAAAAAATAAAAATCATTTTTTTATTTTTTTTATTTTTATCTTATATATTTAGATAATTTTTTATAAATATATATTAATATATTTTTTTTCAATAAAAATATATTTATTTTAATTAATCTAAAATAATAATTTATTTTATTTAATAAAAAACTTTATTTATTAAATATATATAAATATATATATGTAGGTTATGAGTATGAGACATGTGTTATATTACCTATCCCTATCCCATACCTAATAAAAATTTAAATTCATACCCACAATATAATATACATTCTCATCTCCATTTGGGTAAAAAGTTAGATTCCTCATTGGATATGAGTAAGATTGATATTCCTAATCCCATTGAAAGTATTCTCATAATTATCACTTTAACATATTTATATTATGAGCTCTAACATATTTATATTATGAGTCTATTAAGAATATATTACTTATTGTTTCTTTATCATTATGAGTACCAAACACATTATGTGGGATGAAAATATTTTATTAGTCACATATCGATAATGTATTTTGTTTCATTGAATTCAAAACCTGACTTGTTTTGACTTTATACCAAATGATAAGTCAAGTTTCATCATAGGTGATTTTGTATTATGAGCTTGAATCTCATCCAGAGATTTACAGCATAGCTAGATTAATTTTTCATATCACATATTAAAACTTTTATTCGTATTTGCATATTGAAGGTTCACAAGATTTACATGTGAAATTTGCACTCAACTTATAAAATATTGTTCATTTTGACCTGAAAATATCATAGTTGAATTTAAATCTATACTTATATATCATAGTAAATCCTCAAAATCTCTCCATCGATGTAAGATTTGATAGAATTATAATCGTATCAGATATTAAGATTCTAAAAGTAAATCTTACCATGTAACACTTAGCTTCCTCAAAATTCTAAAGGTAACTCCCATGATATAACACTTAGTTTCTATTCGATTGATAATTGTTCTGAACGTCATTTTTGGAGATTCAAACCCAATTTTTAAGATATTGTCTGTTTTAACTTGAAGATCTCATAATTTTATCCTAAAAAAGCTCTTCATAAATTTGAGTTTAAAATTTTATTTATATATCATAACAAATCCTCAAAATCTTTCAATATAAAATCAAAATCTCTCAATATAAGATTAAAACATCACACTACACTCCTATCATGTATGTACATTATTCTATTGTTAAAGAACACTCTTTAAATAGTAATTCTAACCATGAAATATATCCTTTGTACAATTGTTACAAATTGTTTTATTTTATAATATCTATAATGATCACTTTACTTTGTTTTTTTCGTGATAGTTTCACTCTTCATCTTGTTCATATATTTTTTATGAACACAGTCATAGTCTCAGAACCAGATGAGCTGTCAGAGAGGTTCTGATTCCAAGAGGAAGAGACCATCAATTGAAATTTGTCATATCCATCCAATGATTGAAGAAGATAAAAGGTTTTGGGCCCCGATTTTGATTATCTTGAGATAGACAAACAGGATTGTGATCGGAGACAGATTTTGGAAACAGCTGTGATGTAGGAATGGCATGATATTAGTAAACTTCAGAAATCAAAAATTGATCCAACCTATTCATATATAGAACTGTTGTTGCACCAAATAAACTTACCCCGAAGGAGAGGTTAATCATTGAAGTTATTAACAGAGATAAACTCTGAAATCACATCCATGGCCGATAATTGAATGTTTTCAACATCAGCATACTATTTTTTTTCTCTGATTACTCCGACAATTTTGCAAAGATTTTCAAATGGGTTATGCTATTTTAAAAGAAAAAAAAAGTTCCATCTACTTTGAAGATTAATGTGAACCTGACAACAAACTATAGAAGGAAAAATAACTTCTGAAATGTTTATTTGACAAAATCATACCAATATTATTCTCTAGTTAATTTACAATATGAATTTTCATAAAATGGCTTATCGTTTATTGAATTGCAAGTGCAATCATAATTTCTTAAGCTCACGCAAAACACGAATTAATAAACAGTGATTGACTCCATGTAGAGCTTTTGATAATATGTTCATGTTCAAACTTCAAACTCAATCAAGCAATTAAATTTTTTCTTTCAAATTAAAACTTATATTTTGTTAATTAATTGAGAAATAATGCTCTAGGTGATCGTGCTTAAATTCCAA